CGTTGGGCGGCGGCGGCCGTTGCCGCCGCCCCGCCGGAGTCAGTCCGTAACGCGTGAGCGGCGTTGTTTCCCCCGGGGTGGTTTCCTGGCGAGAGTAGTAAAAGCGAAGGTAGGAGCCGTCGAAATAACCTGTTAAATCGCAGTCAGCTCCAGCTGGGGAGCGGCAGTTTGGCAGTGAGGAGGGAGCTGTGTGCGCCACCTCTGCGGCGCCACCTCGGCGGCTGTGCCGGCGGGGCTGCGCGCTGCTGGTGCGCCGGCTTCTCCTGGCAAGCACGGCTTTGCCAGCGTAGGGAGTTTGCCACAGTAATAAATTGCGATTCCTGCGTGAAGCGCTGTTATCGGAGGCACAGCTTAAGCGATATTTAAGTAGTAGTTATTGCCTCTTTGAGCGTTTGTGCTGTATATGCTTATTTTTTGCTGGAGGTTGGAGTTTATCTAACTGTTACATGGCTCTATGTTTTATCTGTGCTGTTATGCCGTGCTTTATTTCTGAACAATTCAACTTCTCTGGGACATTTGAGTCCTCTGTTTTTTGACAGGTGAATAATTAAATCCTGGAATGAAATGTGGTACGAGATCAGGATACTCTCCCTAGAGAAGACTAAATTAATCTATCTTTCTTCAGACAATTCTTTTCGGTAGTTTATCCCTGGCTGCCTTGTTCAGATGAAATATTGTACTGGTTAAAGGAAAATTAAGCAGAGATGCCAGCTTCATGCTCCACACTTGGAGGAATTTGGTCTGATTTCTGATCTTCTGCCCAAGCTGTTCCCTCAACTGTAGCGGCACAACCCAACGTCCCTTACGTAAGAGGCCGAGGGAGGCTTTCAGTCTGTTTCAAGAGGTACATGAATTACAGTAGACGTAACAGGGTTAATGGCTAGACTGTGTTATGTACACAGGGAAAGAAGTTTCTTGTTTTATAAAAGAGAAGAAAAGGGGTGAGAGTGATCCCCACTGAATTGTGTCGACGAATACACTCCATTTCGTTTCTCTCGTGCTTTATAGCACGCATCTGTAGCTGCATCTTTGTAGCTTTCTTTTCATTATGAATGGAGTGTTTGCTGATGTCTCATGTCACATCTCATCCTTGG